AGTCTTGTAATAATTCTAGGTGACTTTAACACCCATTATACATCATGGGGATCTGACTAATGTCATTTATTCTCTCCCCATTTAATAATAATAATAAAAATGTATTTCTCTGTATCCCAGTTACAATTTTGTCTTATAGTTAGTCAGTTAAGTATAAATAAGGAAATATAAAGAAAGATGTTTACTCATATTAATAAAATACCTTGTGACATAGGTATTTGTTATCTTTATGAACTGTAAAAAACAATGTTATTGATAGGTAGGTAATATTCGATCATATTTAAGTATGAGAAATTTTAAATTTATTTGACAATAGCTAACATATGCATAGATATTTTCTAAGATTTACTCAAGTAAGTTATATTAAATAGATTTATTCCATGAGCTAGACGTGTATATCTTAAATGATGGTAGTCCAACCAGAAGGATATACCCCAATCAAGATCAACGGTTGATCTCTCAGTCCTTTGCTTTACAGATTATACGTCTACGATCTCGAGAAGTGCGTGACAAGCTTCGTTAATATCTAACAGTATGCCGGTGATGTACGTCTATATGTCGCTAGTAAATCTGTTGAGAATATTACAGACAGGCTGAATTATATATAGTATATACTTGATTCACTGGCTGGACGACCATGGACTCCCCCTCTCCACTTTGAAGAGCAATTCTGTAATTTTCATTAGAAAAAAGACTACTCTTTTTCCTCCGGCCCAATTCAAAATTGATGGTCAGTCTATTTCTTTCTCAGATCAGGTAAAATTCCTAGGTGTTATCCTTGATTCTAGATTAACAGGTTCAGCTCATTTTAATTTTGTTGCACTAAGATGTGAAAATAGAATAAATATAGCCAAATCTCTCTGAGGGGGTTTACACCCATATTCGAAGAAGCTCTTATACAACGCCTTAGTCCGACTATGGGTCATTTTTACTTGAACCGTGCAACAAAGAAACCCTTAATATACTCCATGAAGTCGTCTCCTAGCATTGCTCTTCAAGTGAAGTATGTGGTTTCTCCTTTGTGTCGCCAATATCTTTGTGACAGATTTATCTTTCTTATAAGGAGCTTCCTGGGATAATAATAAGCTACAGAAAACTATCTGTCTTGTCTAAAGATATTGTAAAATATGATACCCATCCTCTATTTACAATTATTTTGAAGTTCTTACTTTTACACCCAAAATGATAAACTTTGGTATAAAAAAAAAACGATCCCTCGGCACAAAATAAAGAAGAATGGGCAGAAGTCGGCTAAAATTACGCAAATTGCGCACTATGCTTTTATTTATCAAAAATCATCTCTTTAATTGTAATATATTCTATATAAATACAATTTTTAAATTATGCGGCGTTTAAAATTAACCGTATTAAAACAATTGCTAAACTGACTAATTTAGACTCATGATATCGCCTTGGATAAATGTCAACCATGCAACAATATACTCGATAAAGCGATCGATTACAGAAAACTGAAGGATTAATTTACGTATAGAAAAAAAAAAGCTTTGTTTAATTACTATCTAAAATAAGACTTCCTTCGGTTTTCTTTTGAGCAGGATCACAGGTATGTATGCTATTTCATAATAAATGATAGGAGGCAAATTAATGCAATCGGACGGGTGGCGCATCTTAATCAACGATCTTAACCAACGATCGGCCAAGTTAACGTTCGTCACTAATCCCAAAGAATAGGCTTCGTTTATTCGTATAGGATAAGATTTAAATATGCTATGGTTATAAAATATGGTATTTGAATATTCTTAATTATTGTATAAAGATGATCAAAAAATCTACTAAGTTTCATATTATTAATCGACTTGACGTGGGAACTTCCTACCACTACTAATACAAAATAAAGTATTTTAACTCTGATAATGCTAGTCAGGTATAATATTAGTCAAAGACTATTTTTTAATCAAAGTCATTTGACACTATTTTGCCTGTAATTAAACGTCAATATATCAATACTAACAGTATTCTACTAAACCTCCTTCAGCATCTTCAAACTTGGACGGAAATATGTTCTCTTGAAGCTGTCTACGAATCGTCATCTGGAGGCCCGAACTGCTGTTCTATTCTAGGCTACCGAAAGAACCATCTGCTCGACACGTCGAGAAGGTGCTCCGGAACTTCGCCGCTGACCCACGCCCCATCACCAGAAGCCTTACGTTGACGACGGCTATTTCTGCGCTGACGGAACGGAACTTCACCGCTGACCCACGCCCCCTTCACTATTTCTAATTATATTAAAGCATCACCTATACTGACACTCTTTCACTCTCACTACCTCACTACCCACCTCACTAGTCACCTCGTCATTTTTATTTTTTTATTTATTGTAAATAAATTATTTAATTGGAATTACCCTCTTTTAGTTTATTTATTCTTATTTCATAACACAAGGTACTATCGATCACATCCTCTTCAACTGTCTGAAACAACCTTCTTTATATGAGCAACTTCCACCTAAGACGGGGGGGTCTTAGGTGGAAGTTGCTCATATCCCATTAACTTACCTCTAATCTTGTCTATTTTAATATACTTGTATTTTTGTGTCTTTGTAAGCACGTTAAAAATATAACATTAAATTATAAGCTACCCGACAATATCATATATTTATTGCCATGTTTTTTTATTTCATTTATTAGTAGAATTGTGACGTTTGCTTTGTGTTATCCTATTAGGTCAGGGAAGAGTGTACTCAAGGTAGAAAATTAGTAAAAACCATTACCGAGCAATTTCATGAGTGTCTCTCTCACTACCGGACGTTGGCAAAAGTTCTGTGTAAAACGGAAAAAGGTTATTTATTAAAAAAAAAGACATCGTACTTAAACATTTTTATTTATTTTAAGTTAAGCTATGTGCTTTTAATTATAATATTTGATTGTAAAAGCGTGGAGCGTTGGAACGGAAAAGACTTTTTGTATAACTTGTTAAGAAATCAAGTTAAACGATGTTACGGAAAGCAGGTTACAGAGATTGGCGCTCTAAGGGACTCTGCAACGCGAATTTAGTATAGCAATTCTGCAACACATTGAATTATATGGGAATATCGGCACTTGTGTAAAAAAATGCGTTTACAAAACTACAGATTTTCGCGATTGCTTAGTCGTGCAATACTTGTAGATGTTACGCGGTTCGTCTCCCGTCCACTCGGTAGCCGCCGAAAATGATGAAATTGATATTGAAATGTTATAATATTAATTAAAAATAGGTCTCCCCTATGGAAAATTTTCAGGCAACTACAACGATTTGAAAACGAGGTTGTGTGAAGAAATATACATTGGATTGAATCAAACAAATTAAAATTGTTCTGTAGTTAATTTTTAGGGTTCAGTACCCAAAGATAAAACGTGAAGTCTATGTCCAAGGCTTAACTGTCTCTCTGTCATCAGTCTGTGTTTCAACAACCGTGAAAGTTGAAATTTTCATAAATACTAAAAGAGAATAAAATAAAAATTTATATAACAAACGTGATTCTTTTGCTCGTTTGCGGTTAGGAACCTTACGTGTTCGTCTCGACCGGGAGCTACATAAAAGTGTCAATTATTATGGAGTTGCAGCATGACTGCAGCATGACATGATAAAACATGCGTCAGTAGCGAGGAGACACAACTTTCACCGATATTTTGAACGCCTCTTCTTTCCAGCAATATAGTACATAAAGATAATGCGTCAACAGTGGCAAAATGTAGAGTTCTTGTTCGTGGACGAGATATTGGTTCCCTATGGTAACCCTTTTGTGACCTAAAAGTTATACTCTTGTCCGACCTCAAGCAGATTCCGTCAGCAAGTTATTATTAGTATTTGTTTACAAGAAAGGCTAAAAAATATTATAATTGAAAGTACTATGTACTTTTATTATAATTGAAAGAAATATGAATTGAAAGTACTATGTACTTTCAATTATAATATTACTCTTCAGCCCAGAAATAGAGACAACTTGAACAATCTATAATTTATTTTTAGTTTTTACGTGCACTTATAACTGTGTTTTTCTAGTGTTGTTATTATGAACGCTGCCTATTTTTATAAGCGCTGCCTGTAAATTTTTTACACTTAGTCTTTTTGGATAACTTTTATATTTTAGAAGACGCTGTCGTGGTTACAATATTGTTTTTCTGATAAAAATAATGTAAGGAATCTAATTAGGAGAGCGTTTAGCAACAAGAAACCCTTTTTCATGGCGAGATTGATACTCTATTAATCCAAAAAACTTATCCAGAGAAGTGTAAGGCTTATATAGTTTTGGAAAAGTATAAAAAAGATTTGCTGAATGGTATTGTTATCGATCGAAGAAGTATTGAAAATCACCAACGAAAAGAAGCTGCACTGACTGTTGTGCTCTGCCGTGTAACTACATTGGCTTTGATTTGGTTGCTATTGGATTTGACTTACTCAGCGTTCAATAATGATTCATATATTATTTTCGATGCATCGGGTTGAATCAAATGCCACTGAACATTGGGAGATTTTGATTTATTTGATTATCAATTAAAGCAATGCCAATTTAGATATGTTAGAAGAGTAAACTCTACCACGTTGGTGCATATTAAGACGATACTTCATTCTCAGCCACTCTCTTATTCACACTCGGCCTCTTTCTACAGTGACTACAGTGTCAGTAGATTGACACGTATTCAGGGCATTAAATAATTACGTGAATATATTGGAGAAGGTGGAGCAAGGAGTAGGGAAGTTAGTAAACTTCAACAGTGAATCAAATTGCAATCTGATAGATACTCTTATTGAATGAAGATTGTCTTTCACTGTTAAATGGAAACGCTGTACATCCTGGTACCGGTGACAACAAATGTGGTGTTGCGGACGTAAGAACGTCGAGTGGCGTTAGTAGACGAAGTTGCAGTACAATAGTAACGTTGATGATGCCAGATGAAGTTTTGGTTGAAGGTCAAGCTTTCAATGTATGCGAGAATGGCATCCCACATAACTAAATTTAAATTATTTTGTATACCTTCCCGTTTTTTATTGATTTCGCTGTACAAGCGAGTACACGCTTGAACTTTTGAAGAAAACGACCATAATTTTTATTCACTTATTTATACCCACAATCTATAATCCTTAAAAGATTGTAAAAAATATAACGACAGCAACATTTATTTTAAATAAATAAAAAATACATCTTAAAATAATAATGCGGTAAAAATCTGCAAATGAAAGCAAATCTTGCTTTTAATTTTACGTAGTGTTTATATTCTCTGTTGAATCCAGGTTCTAAAGGAGGTAACTCGGGCAAAGCCTCCGGGCAAGCCGAGGTTGCATCCGCGGACGGATACGAAGGAGGAGATACCGATCAATTGACGGTTATTTCCGGATCCGATGGATAGAGGACCGCCTGAATCTCCAGGGCAGATGCTGGCATTACCGCTGCCTGTCGCGCAGATAGTAGAACCAATGATGACGCCTCCGAACACATTTGCGCATTGGCCGTTCGTGATTACGAACATGTTTGCATGATTCTTACCCTGGTTCTGGCCAATAGGAGTATCTGTGAATTAAAAAATAATGTTATTAAAAGGAAGTGCTTAGAAAATAATGGTTGCTTGTAATAATTTTTATAGTAGTTAACTTCATCGGCTTGTGTATTTAGCAATCTTCCTATTTTCTTAATAAATAGGGGGCAATTTAAACGTAATAAAGTTAGGGTCATTCTGATTATATTGTGATGAACAAGATACTTACTGGGACCTTCTCTGCCGAAGCCAGCAGCTACTGCCCATACATTTGCATAGGAGTTCGAACCGGGGGGCAGGAGGATACGGTTAACAGTAGCTAAAACAAAATAATAATCAAATATTTATAAGATTGCGGAATTTACTAAGCAACTTTAGTCTGACAAAATTAGTAAGCTTCATTAACTATCAAATTTCTTTACGATATTAAGCTAATATTAGTAGAATTAATATTAGTTAAGCTAATATTAGTAAGCTAATATTAGTAAATAAAATTAACTCACTGGTATAGGTCACCCAATTATGGTTGATGATGGCAACGTCATTGTTGAGGTTGTTGGGATTGTAGCTGGCGTGCGTGATAATGCTGTTGGTGTTGTGTCGTACTCCACCGCTGAACAGACGGTTGGAGCCGAACACGATGGTGATGGTGCGGGCGGGTGCATTCCCAATGATCCAACAGTGAGCCGCCGTTACCGAACGAGTGTTTGTCAACAATGAGGAGCCGCATACAGACTGACGGTTGTCATGCAGAGTGACGATCAGACCACCCTAAAACATTAAATCACATATAAATTCTTCTTCTACAAATATTCTTCAATAATTTGAGATAACCAATAGGTACCTTGATAATGTGTAATGTCACACTTTTATTCTATCGAAGTTGATCACATAATAGCTCTTAACACGCGATCTGGCTAAATTCAGAGGGTATTACGTTAACGCTTGCACAAGTAAGCGCGTTATGATTTTGTATGGAGATTTGTAATTCTTGGTAGTTACTGCTAGGGGTGCTGTACCGGATTCCATACTAAATAATATCATAACGCGCTCACAATCGACGTGAACGTAAACTTCAAGAAACTTATACTAAGTGCTCAGCAAAGGATCACTCGAGCAACGAATAGAACTAATATCTACTTAAATATTCTCTGAATTTTTATTATATGAATTACACTGAAATCTCCGTATATAAATTCATAAACCAATCAAGCAGAGTGTGTAGATTTTTTATTGATTAATGAATGACGAAAGTGAGAAGAGACCTTGCCAATATCTTCCTGCTTATCGTTACAATACAAAGTCCCACAACGCAGGATTAGAAAGCAATCTTAGAGTTTAATATTTAAAAATGTAGAAGCTCCTTATTCGCGGGGTATTTGTTTATAATTTATGCTGCGAATAATGGGTTGGCATTTAGTAAAGAATTATAAGAGATATGTTCCAAGGTTGCAAAATCTTAGCAATAAATAAATTCAGTTTATTGAGGAACTACCAATTAAAGTCATATTTTGTCAACTTTAAACGGATTTTTCCAATGTTCAAAAGATTACAATTTTTCCTTTTGTTGCACTTTTTAAAGATAATTAAATTCAGATTGATAACTAAACAGTTGTAGCATTCATAGCGCAAATTTTCTTAAAGTATTTTACGAATACAAATAATACAAAATCCGCTTTGACACATGGCTACAATATTATGAAGATCTCTTTAAGTTACCCATACAAATGCATCCGCGAATAAAGATTTTAACCGCGAGTACTGAAAAAGGTTTACAATTTTTTCACTCGAAAAAAGGAATCCGTAAATATCCGTATCTTCATAGTCATTAAGTAGTTTATTGTATTTTATTCAATATTTAGGAATACAGATATACTGATCTTATGCAAATAAGCTGATACTAACCAAATGGGGATGTGCACCAACGCCAGCAGCAGAGCCTCCGAAGATGCGGTTTCCATCGAAATCTTGTCCTTGTTCAGCCTGTCGGATGCGCGTCGCTGTAGGTATCCCATACAGTTCGTGATAATCCAGTCCAGTAATGATGGGCTCAGGAGTACTCTTCCCCACAGCTGCGCCGCTAACGCACGCCGCGGCCGCCGCCACCAACAAGACTACGCATTGAACCCTCATTTTACGGCACTGTGTGTCTTGTAGACGCACTACAATCTTTTATACCACGCTAATACCAAACTAATCAATCATAACAGATAATAATTATTTATTTAATCCTTGGGAAAATGGATTTTATTTGTTATTGTTACAAAATTTAGTCTTTTATAACAATTAATTTACTTATTTTGTCATTTTAAAACTATTCACGTATTATAATACATGTGTTTATTATGTCGTTTATTTATATGGATATGTCTAAATAGAGATAGGTATATTATTTCGTCAAATTTTGAGTTTCTTTATACATTTTTTACGTAAGAATATCTATGATCTTAAATCATTCGGTTTTGTGATACCGACTGACCAATGTCTAATTATCTTAATAGATTCTTGACCGATAATGCCAATTTATCATTTGTTAGGGCCATATTTTTTGGAACTTGTAGGTAATTGATTCATATTTCTACTTGTGACTATCTATAAATATAAAGATACATACATCAATAATTATAAATAATATTCTCTTTCATCATCATTATCAGCTCTTTTACGCCCCCACTGCAGGGGCGTAAAGGGGCAGTTTAAAATAAAATTTTCTTGTTATATATCGTATATATAACAAGAAAATTATATTTTAAACAACTACGCACAAAAGGCGACCTTATCTCTAGCCAGCGACTTTGTCCAAAACAAAACGGAAGAACAACAAGAAGTGTCATTAATATATAGTCAAATAAAATCCTCAAGACAAAAGGGACAAACAAGCTGAGTGTTAGAAGTGAGAAAAGAAAAGAGAAAAGCTGCATAGTTAATCTTCTGACAGTAAATGGGATTTTAATTGTGATTTGAACGAGTAGATTTCTAAGAAATTCAGCTACAGTTCCACAATCTTATTGCCTGTACTGTAAAAGATTTGCTATAGTTAATATAAGAAGAGCGAAGGGAGAGATCATGCGTAGATGAGAGATATTTAAAGCGTAATTAGAGATATGAGAGCGCCATGAGATTGAACAGTATAGAGTAAAGATGCGAAAGCATATGCGTATCCTACGACGACAAATGGGGAGCCACTGAAGTTTCTTACGCAATTCAGAAACATGTTGCCAAATAGGAATCGTATCGTATAAAGTTTTATCGTATTGTAAAGAAAATTAGGGTAACATGCATCTTCACAGTCAAGAAGGGGTAAAAAGGATTAATGCGCTAGTGTAATTTTGGTAGAAATGGGCAAAAAATTGCGCATCCCGTACTAGAAACAGTATACATCTTCCATCTAATTTCTGCTACTTGTGGACACCAGCACATTGTATTGTCCAGGATCATATCCAAATTATTTACTGTATTAGCAAAAGTCACATGAACTTCTTCAAAATAGATCTGATAGGAGTTATATATGAAATGTTATCCTAAAACTATAAAAAGAACTATCAGTCATTCTACTCTGCGTTTTACTTGGATTAACTTTGAGATCAAAAGAATTACTCCACTAGAAGTTTGCACTAACTCTGCTTTAATAGCGCCAATATTAGCATTAAAACTCCACATTAAATGAAGTTATTGGAAAAACCACGAAATTAAAATTGGGAAAATAGACTACAAACATAACTAAAATCAAAATCACGTTTTAAAAGTACAGTAGCGTCATCTAGTCTTGAGTAGCATCAGCTAAATGTGATATTTTCGTATACTTAACGTTTATGCCTTTAATATTAGCGACAACGATAGTACCAATTTAATTTATTAAAACATTATTTAATCCTACGTTAACAGCTTAATTATTAAAGGAATTTGGAAAAGGATGTAATGGAATATAATGACAATGACAAATTTAATTGTAAACAGCGGTAACTATGCTAACAAATAATTAATGTCCTATTAACTCCCACTCCCATTTTCATCACTTTATGTGCTTTTTAGGAAAAAGATATAAGAAAGACATATGCTGCCGCAGACTTTTTTTAGAACTTTCAAAGGGAATTTTTTTTCCCGTTTTAACCAACATTTTTCATTGCTACTTCAATCCTATTGGTTATAGCGTGATGTTATATATCCTATAGCCTTCCTCAATAAATGGACTATTCAACACAAAATATATATTCAAGTCGTTCCGGTAGTTTTGGAGATTATAGACGTCAAACAAACAAACTCTTCAGATTTATAATTAGTATAGATATATATGTTAAGCTCAAAGATCGAAATCGCATTGAGCGAAAAATAGTTCATAACGCGTTTTGGCAATCTAAGAATAACCACATAGCGAAATCCATGTCGTGGCCGACATGCTATTCGACCACAACGCGTTGTGGCAATGTAGAAAAGTCACGACTAATAATTTTAATCTATTGTAGTGTAGTGATTTGTTATTGTCTATTTTAAAAATATATTCCTGTCGAAGCTACTCATCGATCAATTTTCAGACATGATAAGGAAGCGAAGTGCAGAAATCTATCAGGATTGATAATATCATTATAATCTTATATTATAATTATAGATATCATTGTCATATCGTGTTCATTTAAGGATAATTTATTTATTTATTTAGACCGATTGAGTTGATTTTTTCTTTTGAAATATTTCATGTTACAATATAGGTAATCATGATGTTTATCTAAATAATTGTTTTTGATAAGCTTGTGTTCTACAAGTGATAATACTGTTATATGTTCGAACTACATAAACCATTTGAGTTATAAATATTTAACATAATAAATTTTATGATACTAATCTTAGTAAGTAGTTTAACGAAAAACGTCCGGGCTATCTTTGTTATTTGTGAATTTATGTTTATAGCTGCCATAATGAAAGTTGTAACTTTTTATGTAACTAATTTAATGCCCTATGTATTTTAGCAATTTTTTGTAGTATATTTTCCCTACTTTTGTCAAGTTTTTAAAGGAAGGAAATGGAATATATGCTTTAAAAACTTGACAAAAGTAGGGAAAATATACTACAAAAAATTGCTAAAATACATAGGGCATTAAATTAGTTACATAAAAAGTTACAACTTTCATTATGGCAGCTATAAACATAAATTCACAAATAACAAAGATAGCCCGGACGTTTTTCGTTGCCCTAGCACTGTGTGACGTCTCTTATATAGTGACAAATTTGTAGAGAGCGTTTTCATAAATATAGCACCGTATATCAGAAACTATTAATCGCAGACATGCTGTTACTTCTACATTGTTTCTTGGGTTTTAATATACTATTATTTATATAAAAAGAAAATACTAGTCTATTGAAATAACCACATAAAAATTGCTATTTCATGAAGTTAGTTTTATTAAATATTATTTTTGTAAATATTTTTATTGACAAAGATGATTAAAATTTTCATAAAAACATTAGAATATCTGGAAAATATTCTCAATGAAAAATGCTTAAAAAATCCACCAGCCAGGTAACAATGTTTTATCTCTTCGGCCTTCCGCGCTTGCGCATAGCTTTATTTTTGTTTGCATGAAGCGCCATCTATTATCTGCTTGTGTTTCTAGCTTATCTACTCCATTCAAGCGAGGTTATTAAATAATATAATGCTTCATCAATGGCGGGAAAGTTGTACGTTATTAAGTGTAATGTGGCCTCAACAATCCCAGTGGGTTCATCCGTGATCGAAGCAACTAGATGTTGGACGTTTACCAACATTCGATCTACGGCGAGGGCGACGGCACGGATGAGCGCACGGCCGGGCGGCGGCGACAGCGGCGCGCGCATCCACCGGCGCGGCGGGAACAGCTCGCAGCAAGTGAGGGAAGGGAAAGGGAGGCGACCGGGCCGGCGCCGCAGTGTGCCGCGGTGCTGCGACACGACGGTACTTATATCGCGATCGCACACACGACCGCGCCACGAGAGTGCGACGATGCTGGCTCAGTGATCGTCGCGAGTGATGTGTTGTGAATGGACTAACATATGAGCTGCATTCTGTACCATGGAAGGAACGTGACTGTAAACTCACGCACAGGTTAATATAGTGCTCATTTGACAAAACACAACATTAAGAAATGACACTCATAAACATAAATTAGTTCTTCCAAATCTTTATTAATGTGTTTTACATGATACCTAGCCAGGAACTCTCAAGTTTGATACGTACGGTAGATGGTTGCATCTTTAAGTGATAGGAGCTGATGGATATGTCATGTATGGATATGATATATAGCCAAAATCCGACAAATCAAACAATATTTAATTAGCTATAAAACCATAGAATGTCCGATGAATGAAACTGAAAAACTAATCATTAAGTTATTCTTAGTTAGGTACACCAGATTTTATATTTATTTACTGTCCACGTATCATGCAGACTCTGAAACGTTAAGTTTCAGAAAATATGTGGGGTTCTAAAATTTAATATTCTGTAAGAATTGAGTAGGTACAAAAATTAAATAATTATCGAGAAAGTCAAATATGTGAGCGTGAAACACTAAAATTTCAATCTCAGAATACTTGTATGTCGAAAGAATACATGAGAAATTTGTCATAAAGCTCTTAGAAATAAACTGGGTCTCGATTCAGTTATTTTTAATGAAAAAATCGCATTTATTGAAATAAGTTTCAACCATTTGCATTTTGCCATAATACTTTATACCTGAAATTCAATACTAGTAGTGCAAGGTCTTCTGCACAAATTAATGGTGACAGATATTCGTTAGAAAGGGTTGTAGGTATTGACATTCCATTATAACGCTAACATTAACAGATTTGCTGTCAGTTGCACAAACGTCCATTAAGGTTTAATGACGCCTTTAAGATCTAATGAATGTCAAATTTGAATCGGTAATGTCGCTTTAAACTTATGACAATTTTATTAGGCAACTGGCTGTTAAATAAACATATTCAGGTTGAGAAATAAATGTCTTAAAAACGTTATTGTCAACCTGCCTTGAGATGCTTTAATTATAAAAGTGTATGTTTATATGAGGTGTGTTTTCAAAGTTCTCGGAATTATAATTATTTATTTTATTAATTTACGTCTACATTGCAATTGTAGTAGATAATTTATGATGCACTTTCACCAGCGCTAAACTTTTCTTTTTAGATTGACGTTGAAGATATTTTTAAGAATCGTGTTTTACATTTGTATGGAGGTTCACGACAACGATAGACAATACTTTGTTTCTGATACTGCAGGCC